CGGGCAGTGGGGGGAAAAGAAAAATTCTGTTTTGGCAAGGGCAACCCCTATTGACGTGAATAGTGGCTGCCCTAGCTCTCCCCCTTGCCATGGCTAAGGGCAAATGGGTGGAGTTGCTCTAAGTAATGACTGAGAGGAGTCATAAGAACATCACAACAGACATCACACCATCAGTGAATCAAGAGTTCCTTTGACAGACCACAGTTGCAAAAAGTGGTGACAGCAACACAGTTTTATTAGGACAAAAAGGAAAAAAATTAGTCTACAGTATTGTGTATTCTAAAATGACTAAAACAAATAAATGATACATACCTTTATCAATGACACCTTCAAATGATTCGTCTGGGAAGACACTCATATCCCTAACATCCATTTGCATGTCTAATTGTATAGGAAACATGCCTAGAGTCTGCAATATTTACTAAAGATAATGCAGTACAAAATTGTACTGGTAATTTTAATGAAGTAAGTTTTCAAAAGGATACATTTCAGCTGAGGTATGTGCTCATATTTTCTTTTCATCATGTCAATGGCCACTGATGAAATGTCAACGTTCATTATGTCTTCATATCCATCCGCAACCATGTCCTCAGACATAATTACGAGAGAAGATTTTTCCATCAGAATTTCACTCAACAAGTAGATAGTAAATATCTAAATCCAATGAAATTATAGATGTTAGGACCTTCCTGATTAGAAAATGAATCATTTTTACATCAACAGTTCTTCGTCTATAGATGGCAAGGGCAATGCCATGTTTAGGGACGCCAAAGCACCCTAATTATTGCATCAGGTCCATTATTACTTTCGACATCAATTGTCTAATTAGTGTGAGAGCAAATGATATATTGTTACTTGTAGTTTCATTCTAGGGCCTAGACAAAATACGATGACTGTCTGTTCCAACTCGCAGGGAACTCCATGTGACCGTCATTTCCATGCAAGAATGGGACATCTTCAGGAACATCTTTCCAAAACAAATTTGACAACACTAAGAAAAGGCTGAAACACTTCTTCCACCTTTGACCATTTCTCTGTGCTAGAACAGGTTCATATGAATGCAGCTCAGCTTTCATAATCCCTAAGCCAACGAGATAAGTTGGTGAAGTCATAGCATTGTTATACCAGGGGACTTTTGTTGAGGTGAAGTACCAAGAGCTCTTGAGGTGAAGTTGTAGATAATAAAAATTAGAATTTTGTTGATTAGCGAAAAAAACCAACAAGAAATGGAGGGAAATGGTTCCAAATTGGTGGCAAATGGGTCTGAGGCATTGAAGAGGTCAAAAGGGATTGATTTGACGATTATATCCCTCATAAAATAGGGATTTAACAAGTTTTTTTTTACGGATGAACTATTTAAGAGCACTCATAATTACATTAGGGACCATGAGTGATACAAAAAGACTTTAAGGATGCAATCTGATAGTTTCGCAAACATCAGAGACGTTTTGTGATAAAAAACCTATTTTTTTATTTGGTGCATTACATTTTTCTAGATGCCCGTCTTAAAAGCTTTTTTTATTGCACATATTAAATGTCACAAAAAGATTTTTAGATGTCATAAACAGTTTCTCACCATTTCTGTGAAACTCATCTGTATATGACTAGAGTTATTTAGAGGTTATCTATATGTTTTATATTATTAAAACATAAAATTACATATCGGTCCTAAGTAAACAGCACATAATTATTAATATTTTCCAACATATTATAAATATAAAATGAAAGCAACTTGCAAGGGTAATTGTCCCGGAAAGAAGAACCCAAAGGAAAAATACAATAAGGAAACGATCAATGCTTAGCATAAACGCATCATAATTCCAACAAAATAAAGCTTTAAATAATATATTGATGCACGGCAGTTCTGTGATGAGTCTGTTTTGATGCCATCTTCGCGTAAGGACAGAAAAGTAAACGTGTCAAAGAAACCGTGTGGGACACTACATTTGTTTTTTTGTTATAAAAAAAAAAAAAGTATTTGGTAGTAAACATTTCTCCACTCGAAGACTTCAAAACTTGCTGCATTAACAATATTATGTCTTGGTTCTGGCTATCTGGATTTCTTTGGTTCTAAAAGTGTGTTACTGTGTATTGCCTTTGCATTTTCCTTCTTGTTCATTGCGACACCTTCGGTATTTGATAATTCGTGAAGAAATCTACTGCTGATATATATCATATACTTAAACTGCAGGTACTTCAGTTATATTCTGTTTGGTGCCTTTCTTTTTTTGTTTCTTGTATCTTATTTTATCTGCTCAAAGTTCTGCTTTTTGTTTTGTTTTGTTTTGTTTTTTTTTGTTTTTAAGCAAAGCTCAGAGTTCCTGTTTTCTTCACCATAGGTTATCTGCTATGTGGCAGTTTAAGAACAGATTATGTATTTTGAGATTTCAATAAAAGAAAGAACAACGTAAAATATAAAGCCACATCTAAGAGTGCACAGTTACCAACAAATAGATCCCTCCAGGTTTAAGAAGCCTACAAGCAAAATAACAACTGTGATTAGTGATGGATTATAAAAGTAAACAATAATGAATAAATTTTAAATAGAAAAAAATTGTGTACTGATCTAGTAATATAAAAAATTGCAGCTGTCAATTGAGTCTTAAAGTCTACAACCTACTCATTTTTGTTAGTGTTTTCTAGGATTTGGAAGGCAGAGTGATGAAGAAGAAAAGAAAGATTAATAGCATATCGAATTTGGCATGAATTACTCTGCTCTACGAGTAGCAGAGGAATGTTATATTCCTTCAGTCTCTCTCTTGCTTACAACCTTACGCACATAGTGTGAGGGAATATATGACCGTTAGGCTTAATAGCTGGATCCTTTACACATCAAAGTGATCTCAGCCACTCCTTTAGTCATCCAATAGAAAGCTTACACTTGGCTTACAAAGTGAGTTAAAACAAAACTGTATTAACTACCTAATAAATCTGCTTAAGAGTTTATAAATCGACACTCCCCTTTAAATTTTGAGCTAATTTAACTCCAAGCATACTCCTGAGATAATTGAATCGATCCTTGCTAATGGTTTGGTGAAGATGTCAGCAAGTTATTCATTTGTAGGACAGTACACCAAGTCAATAATGCCTTCTTAGTGCATCTTTGATGAAGTGATACCTTCTATCAATATGCTTTGTCTTCTTATGAAATATAGGATTCTTGGTAATGGCAATTGCAGATGTATTGTCACACTAAATGGAGCTGCTTACAACATTAAAGGAAACAAAAAAAACTAATTTAACTAACTAATAAGTTAGCTTAAGAACTTATAAGGGAGATTCACTATTATACTCAATATAGAAGCCCAAATTATTATAAATAAAAAAACCTTATATGAAATGAACTTTAGAAACACACCCAAAACCCATTTACAGCATAACAAAAAGACTTTTAACTTCTTTTAAATTACAAAACTACCATTGATTTCTTAAAACAAACCCAACCCCAAAACCTCATAAAAAAGCTCAAAACACTCAATAGAACATCAAAGTAATTTAATGATCAAAATTAAATTCAATAGTGTCAACTTTCATTTTTTGAGTTTGTTTATAGAAATTAAATGATGTCGAATTTATTTATAATTTTAGTACTAAGAATGAGTATATGACTAAATATCTCAACTTATAATTCAACAAAATGGTGCGGCACAAATTCCCGCACTCACTCACACACCCTACCGCATGCTGCTCCCTCTCTCTCTCTCTTTTATAAACTCATGCAGCTACTCTCCAAATGAGAGCAACCGCATGCAAAGGGAAACCACGTGATGGTCAGTCAAAGAAGCCTTGAGCCATGCGCCATCCGCAGCCCATAAAAATGCCTCGAGCCATGCTCCATCAGCAGACCGCATTTTTCTCTTTTCCAGCTGCTTCACATGGCCTTGTTTCCTCTATTTGACAAAAGACCATCCCTTTAACAGCATGCCCACGAGAGTTGCTGTACTCCTCAACAACTTGGAAACATTAAAGAAAGAAAGAATTCTTTCTCAAATGGCCAGCACCAACCCACGAAGTGCCTGACCTTTGGCTGCCTAAGCCTTGTGTCTCTTTGATCACTTAACCCTCTAAGTGCCACTTGACAATCCCAAGGGTCACAAATCAAAAAACACAATTAATTCAAACCAAAAATTTGAGCCAATTTACAACAATATCTTCTCATCATAACATCTCACACTCAAAATTCTCAAACCCATAATTAGTTTCATCCATCTTCCACACGCATCCATCTTCATATTTATTATGTCTTGGTTCTGGCTCTCTTGATCTCTTTGGTTCTAAACGTGTGTAACTGTGTATTGGCTTTGAATTTTCCTTACTGTTCATTGCGACACCTTCGGTAATTCGTGAAGAAATCTGCTGTTGATATATATCATATAGTTAAACTACAGGTACTTTGATTTATTCTGTTTGGTGCCTTTTGTTTTTTGTTTTTTTAGTTTCTTATATTTTATTTTATCTGCTCAGAATTCCTTTTCTTTGATGCATTTCTAATTTAGCTTGTTTCAGTTGATACATTTCTAATCAAGCTGCTTCAAGAAACAACTCCTTACATTTTCTTTGATTGCTCGCTTCTCTTCAGAAACTATGGGAGAGGCTTATCTTGTGGCATTCCTTCGAGTGCTGGTCGACAAGTTGGCGAGTCGTGAGGTGTTCAAGTGCTTTGGACTCATAAAGGGCGTCGACCAAAAGCTGCAGAAATGGACTGCCACCTTGTCTGCAATTGGAACGGTTCTGAATGAGGCGGAGGAGAGGCAACTGATCACCGAGAGCAAGTCGCTGAAGCTTTGGCTGGATGATCTCAGGGACTTAGCTTATGATGTGGAAGACGTATTGGACAAATATGCTACTAAAATGCTCAAACGGGAGATAGAGCTGGGACATTATGCCGGCACCGCAAGAAGGGTCTGGAACTCAGTTCCTAATGGTGTTTTCAACTACAAAATGAACTCAGAAATACAGAAGATTACTGAGCGTTTACAAGAGATATCTCAGCGAAAGGACCAGCTTAGTTTGAATATCATTACTGGGACGACGTCGTCCACTAAGGCACGTCAAAATTTACCTCCCAGTTCCTGTCAACCAGATGGACCTGTGATTGGAAGGGAGGAAGACAAAAGGCAGGTCGTGGAATTTCTGTCGAAACAAGAGCGTGGTGCCGTCAATTTCGATGTAGTTGCCATTGTTGGTATGGCTGGAGTCGGAAAGACAACACTTGCTGCACAAGTGTTCAATGAAATTGATGCAACCGAGCAATTTAAACCCACTGCTTGGGTATGCGTGTCTGATGACTTCAACCTAGAAAGAGTGACAAAGCAAATTCTTGAATCAGTCACATCCCAACTCTATCCTACAGAAGATTTCAATAAGGTTCAACAGTCTCTGCATAAGGAATTAGCTGGGAAGAAGTTTTTAATTGTTTTGGATGATGTTTGGAGCACATGTAGCTATGGTGTATGGATGAAACTGCAGTCCCCCTTTCGCGATGGAGCAGCAGGAAGCAAGATAATTGTGACTACGCGTGATGCAGAAGTTTCGAAAATGATGGGAGCTGGCACTCTAGTTCATAATTTGGAGCTGATGTCAAATGACGTTTGTTTTGAAGTATTTGAGCAGCATGCATTCAGGAATGTTAACAGAGATATACCACCAAATTTCGAGTCACTCAAGGAGAAAATTGTTGCAAGATGCAGTGGATTGCCTTTGGCTGCTAGGACTCTTGGCGGCCTTTTACTTCGTAAAGAGATGAATGAATGGGAGGAAATATTGAACAACAAATTATGGAGTCTATCAAATGAGCGTGACATACTTCCGGTATTAAGATTAAGCTATCACTATCTTCCTTCACATCTGAAAAGATGCTTTGCCTATTGTTCGATACTTCCAAATGACTATGAATTTAGAGAGCATCAATTGATTCTTCTGTGGATGGCAGAGGGTTTGATTCAACCACAACCAGAACATAATAAGCAAATGGAAGATTTAGGAACTGACTATTTTCAGGAGCTCTTATCGAGGTCATTATTTCAGAAATCAGGCAAAAACAATTCAAAATATGTAATGCATGACCTCGTTGTTGGTTTGGCACAGTGGGCAGCAGGATATATTTGTTTTAGATTGGAGGATAAGCAGAATAGCGATGATGTACAACTTGGATGTTTTCCAAAGGCCCGCCATGCGTCCTACATTTGTGGTGACTATGATGTGGCTAAAAGATTTGAGGCATTTTCTGAAGTGAAAGATTTGCGGACCTTCCTGCCTCTTTCTCATGGTTATCCTTGCCATTGTCTAAGTCGTACGGTTCATTTTGTTTTATTGCCAAAATTGCAATACTTGCGGGTGCTTTCTCTCAATGGCTATAATGTAGCAACCCACAATCTCATCAATATTGGTAAATTGAAGTATCTACGGTATCTTGATCTCTCTCACACACTGATAAAATGTTTGCCTAAATCAACCACCTCTCTTTACAACTTACAGACATTGTTATTGGAAGGTTGTCATTATTTGAAGGCACTACCTAGAAACTTGGGGAATCTAGTGAATCTGCGTCATCTCAATAACTCAGATGTAGGTTCACTGAAAGCAATGCCTCCGCAACTAGGTCGGTTGACGAATCTACAATCCTTGTCTAATTTTGTGGTGGGTAAAGGTAGTGATCAATCGGGTATAAGAGAGATAGGGTCCCTATTCCATCTCCGAGGGACATTGCGCCTCTCAAGATTAGAGAATGTGATCGATGCTGAGGATGCACGGAGGGCCAACTTAAAATGCAAGGACAGACTTGATGAATTGGTGCTAGAATGGTCGAGTGACACACAAGAAACACAGTTAGGTGTGCTTGACAGATTAGAACCTCATAGAATGCTCAAAATTCTGAAAATCAAGGGTTATGCTGGACTAAAGTTTTCAGCATGGATTGGAGATCGTTTATTCTCTACTATGGTTGATGTAAGGTTAAACAACTGTGAGGAGTGCAAAATCTTGCCACCACTTGGACAATTGCCTTCACTCAAAACGCTTTATATTAGAGGAATGACTGCAGTGGAAAGTGTTGGTCCTGAGTTTTATGGAGAGAGTAGCTTGCCTTTTCCAGTACTAGAGGATCTTAAGTTTTCAGATATGCACAACTGGAAGAAATGGCTTCCTTTCGCACAAGATCAGGTTTTCCCTTGCTTGAAGTTGCTTTCTATCACAAATTGCCCTCAATTGGAGGGTAAGTTGCCCGAGAACCTTGATTCATTAGCAACACTTGAAATTTTTAAATGCGAGGAATTGGTGATTTCAATTTCCAACTATAAACAAATTGGTGCATTAAACATCGACGGTTGCAAAGCGGTGGTGAAGACAAGTGGCGTTGAGTTTAAGTCATTAGACTTTTTGAGACTTTCAAATATTTCAGAGGTGGGGTTCCAAACTGGGGAATTCACCAAAGGATTAAGTAAGGTTGCAAAATTGACGATTGGCGGATGTGAGGAGCTGACATCTTCACTGAAAAATGAGGATAGAGTATTGCAACGTTTGATTTCTCTTGATCGTTTGGTTATTGAAGGCAACTCTTCCCTCCTTCAAAAGTTGGGAAAAGAAGCAGAGGAGTTGCTGCAATTGCATATATTGACTTGCAAGCTTAAATATCTAGAATTAAACAAGTGTGGAAGTCTTTCCAAGGTACCAAAGGGGTTGCATCACCTAACGGCTCTTCAACATCTTCAAATAGTTGGATGCTCAAGTCTGGTTTGTTTTGCTGATGTCGGTTTTCCTCCTTCCCTTGAAGTCGTATGGATTTGGGAATGCGATTCGTTGCTGTATTTTGCAAAATACCAGATTCCCCCAAATCTAAGAAGAATAGAGATAGGAAAGTGTAGAAGTTTGAAATCATTAGTAGAGAAAGAGGAGGATAGTTCTTCGTCTTCCTCTTCTTCTCATATTTCTCTTGAGCACTTGGAAATACGGGGATGTGAATCTCTAACGTCGTTATCATTGAGAGCCCAGTTGTTTCCCAGGGCGCTTAAACGCCTTCACATATCCCATTGTGGAATGCTGCAGTTAATAACGTCCGATAGGTTAGCCCACGACAACACTAATTATTGTCTTGAATATATTACGGTCTGGAGTTGCCGAAATCTGAAATCCTTACCGGAGGGCCTATGTCACCTCACCAAACTTCAAACTTTATATATTACTGACTGTAAGAGTCTTGTTTCCATCCCGAGACTGAGTGGAGGTTTGCCTTCGCCAACAACCACACCCGCCTCCAACCTGAGACACATCCACATCAGAGAATGCGGCAAATTGGAGGTGTTTCCGGACATGCACAATCTCAACTCTCTTCAAGTGTTGAATATTGATTGTGGTGAAGGTTTAAATTTCGCTTCATTTCCCCCCAACCTAACATCACTTACCATCCACGCAATCAAGAATTGTAAGCCGCTGTGGGAGTTGTTGCACAAGCTCACCTCTCTTACAGAGTTGTGGGTTGATGGCGAAGACCCATATGTTGTGTCATTTCCACCTGAAGGTGACTTAGAGATGGATATGGCGATGCTACTCCCTGAATCACTCACTCATCTCTCAATTGCGGGCTTCCCAAATCTGAAGAAACTGAGCAGCAAAGGCTTTCAATTCCTCACCTCTCTTCAATCTCTTCGACTCCAGAATTGTCCAAAGTTGGCATCTATTCCAGTGGAGGGCCTGGCTCTTTCACTTTTTCAATTGTATATCTCTGGGTGTCCAAAATTGTATTGGGCCGCACCTGATGGGTTTGTCTTTGGACGATACCGGTACTGGCGCAAAATATCCCACATTCCTAGCAGAGAGATATATCCAACTCTCCCCAGGTACTTCAAACTTTTTATCTTTAATAGGTACCATGAAATAAGAATATCTTATTATTTTTCAGATATTCTTCTTTTCTTCAATTCAATTGAATTTTACAACAATGTCTATTTCCCAGGTGGGTCTTTTTCATCTACAGTTGCTTCAAGCACGACTACAACAATGTATCGTGGAGATGGTAAATCCATCTTTATTTCTCTTTATGATATATTTTAAAAATCCAGGAAATGGGAAGACTTAAAAGGCTATTCCTTAATAGGAAATTGCAAACATGTGATCAAAATTTGAATGGGGAACATTTGAAATATATATGGTAAAAAAAAGTACTTCATTTCTCACTTGGTTTGCCTTGTAATATTTTGTCATCTCTTTACTAAGAACTTTTAGCCATATTTTTCTTTCTTTTGTTTGCTGGATTTCAATGTCTTTCCAAATTCTCTGTGATGTAGGACGAGATCTGGGTCAATTATGGTGGGAAATATTTATTAAATAAAGTGGCTCAAAGTTGGAAGGAAATCGTGCAAGAGAAGAAAATTCCAGTTCAATATCAATTATGGTGTTAAAAGAGGAAGGATGTGTCGTTGAGATTTTTGAGTTGCTTGATTAAATTTGAAGCACAGGATTCTTTGCCAGATTTATATTAATTTATTGTTTGCAATTGGCGGTGTCGAAATGATGCGGAGGAGAAGTGTGACATGGTGTGAAATTGTGGCTAGATGATCTCAGAGACTTGGCTTACAATGTGGAAGACGCGCTGGACAAGTTTGCTACTAAAATGTTGAAGCGTGTTGGGCTCATTTTTACACATGATTTATCATGTTATTCACCCAATATTTTGAGTTAGTTCTTGACATTTTATAGCTTTTTACTTCTTTTTTTGTTTTCATGGATTTTACCTTGGTTAGAATGAAAATGAGCCAAAAATGCATTATTGGTTATAAATTCTGTTTTTGTTCATTTTCGTAGGTCAACTTCTTGGCCATGGATCAGCATGCTCCAGTGCTTGGATGAGGTGAAGATCTTCATGAAACTTGTTCCAATGGATGTTGACTACAACATATCCGAATTTGAGCTCCATTGAACAAGTATAGCCTATCCAACTGATCCAGCATTTTACCATAGCTCTAGAGATTTGTCTTGGGCCAGCTTTCACCTCCGCTTGATGTCATCTTAATTTCACTTGTTACCATATCATTTGGAAACAATGAATTACCTTACTGAATTGGGATTTTCTGAGCCTTGGAATGTATTTAAAAACAAAACCCCATTATGGCAAGGAGACAAGGAAAAGACAATTGCTAAAAGCTTTAGCAAAAGGTGGAGTTTAATATTGAAGACTGAGTTGGAAAGGAGGAGAGGGGGGAGCAAAGAGGCAATCAGCCTTGGATGAAATCATTATTCAATTTTGCGGAGATTAGAGCAAGTTTCGGAGCTAGAGAGCTAGAGGAGGAAGACAAGGTGCAGCCAAGCAAGAAGTGGAAGAAGATTTCCACCATTGAAGACCTTGAGCTTCCATAACTTTCACAAAATCTGTAAACTCTTTCTAGTTTTATTTTGAATTTGTGTTTGAAATAAGTATGAGAAACTAAACTCCATAGCTAGGGCTTAGATTGAAGCCCTAAACATGAATACTCTATTGTTTTGATGCTTGAGTGTATGAATTTCTAGATATTGTTGATGAATTCCCATTCACTAATCTATCATTGATGTATGTTTTTCTTTGATTGATCACCTTTGAATGCATGCTTCTTGAGGTTGTTGTGGATTACATGTACCCACATGTCTCCCTAAGCAAAAAATGGATGAAGTAAGAATCATCCATGTGAATTGGTTTCTTGAATACCTAATGTAAACATCATGCTATTAGGGTTCTTGTGATGTTCATATTCTCTTTGAACTTAATGGGGTTTTCTTGTAATTTAATCGAAGTACTAAGCACACCTAGATTGGTTATAGGAAAGGCACGAGTATTGTAGCACTAACCCCGCACTCTATGTATATTAGAGAGAATCAATGCGTCTTGAGCCACTAAACCCAGTCTTGATTGCGAACATCTTCATCAACACATTTACTGGATTCGGCACGGTGCCCTTGGGAAGGGGAAGGTGAAAGGGTGCTAGGGTTTCTTGTGTACCCTTGGGACTTTATAAATAGGAACTTGGAGTGACGAAGGCATCACACTTCCAAGTCCTTGAGAAAAATTTCTAGAAAGTGAGAAGGAGAAAAGGAGATTGCCGGCGAAATACCTCGTGGTGGTGTTGTGGCCAAAGTGATTTTCGGCGACTTTCAGTGGTGGTGTAAACAAGGTTAGACCTCATTTCCTTTGATCTTTTGAATTGAAATTCTGCTTTTGATATGAACATTTTGAAGATTAGGATGAACACCTTGAACATTGGTATGAACTTGTTGAATGTCTGCTTCTAGGTCAAAAAGCATGTAGGTGTGCCCTCCTTTTTGTGTTCTTGTGTTTTTTATCCTTCTTGCATGTGCATTAGTTCATTTTCCTTGTTTCTGCATGTTGTAGATGTCTGAAAGTTCTGATAAAGAAAGTCATGACCTCCCTGCCTTTAGTGGGGAAGATACTGAGAGTGAAGAGCCCAGTGAGTATGTTTGTTATGAAGGTGAGAGTTTCCAGACAGAGGGTCTGGTAGAAGGTATCATAGAAAGTAGGATGGTAGTGCATGACGGGGAGATAGGTGAGCCATCAGTAGACTCCTGTTTATACCCAAAATTTACAGCCTATGAAAACCAGACACGTGGATAGAGCTGAACTTGATTATGGTTGCCTTCGGCACCTTGCCTACTGATCCAGCGATTAGGGCAACATCCTTCTCAGGATACATGGCAGTCCCACAATTGGCGTCCACAGTCCCACATCGAAATTCTAAACAAAATGCACACCTCCCAAGGTCTATAAAAGAGGACAACATTCCCAAAATGAAGGTAATCAGAACTTACGGCATACTGCCCATTGATTTGTCAGTTCAAGTTTACTAAATTTGTACTTACTTAAGTATCGGAGAGCCTTCGGCCGATACCACACCGGTGCCCTAGGTTTTACCGAGCGTTCGTTATCTTGCAGATCACACGCTCTACCAAGGCCCAAATCATACCGAAGGCCAAACATCACTAAGTTGAGCGGGGAATTTGCCAGACCATTTTTCCGCATCAACACCTCTCATATCTATGCAGATCCACATTTCTTGATTCTTGCCAAGCAAATTGTCTTTTGGCCTAGTGTGTGGCAAGTACATCAATGGACCGTCCGGATTAGTAGGTTCCATCCTGCAGCACCAAATTACAGAAACATTAGAAGAACATACAGAAAAAATCAAAATAAAAACAAATAAATAAATTGTAATTTTAGTCATGGAGAGGAATTTGGTTGCAAGATGATTGACTTAGAGCAACTCCACCCATTTGCCCTTAGCCATGGCAAGGGGGGGAGTTAGGGCAGCTACTATTCACGTGAATAGTAGTTGCCCTTGCAAAATCCGAATTTTGTGTTTCCACCCGTTGCCCTTGCTAAGGGCAGTTACTATTCATTTTTTTGTTTTATTCACAATTTTTTTTACCTCAATAATTAATTTGGATAATATTTTCGGATAAGATTTACGGGTTCCTACGTGTCAAGACTATTCATAATCAGATAAAATTTCGGGATAAGATTTTTTGGTTCAAATTTCGGATGAATTTCAAAATTCAAATTTCAGATAAATTTTTGGGTTCAAATTTCGAATGAATTTCAAAATTCAAATTTCGGATGAATTTCAAAAATCAAATTTCAGATACATTTGGGTTCAAATTTCGGATGAATTT